TCAGATTTGAGTATAAATCTCAAAATTTGGCGCTTTTAAAAAAAAAATTGGATGTTTCTTGCTGTCCGGTACTGTAGAAGACTTTACAATGCTATATCAAAAAGCAGAACATAACCAAAATTTACGTGGTTTCTTTGTTAAAAGAGTGAATTTAGCATATGCGGCATAAAAGATTTAGAAACTCGAAAATATGAGAATATAGATTTCTTTGTCAACCCTTCTAATTTCCAACTTATTAAGGGTTTGCTAAAGTGTACACATCATGTACAAGTTTTTTTTTACAACTTGTACTAACTTTAACACATAACAATCGGCTATGATTACTTTGTCAGTGAAATGAGCCGTCCGTGAAATAAATTGTCTATAAAACGAGATACTGGTAAAATAACTTATCTATGAATTACTGTCCGTAAAATGAATCGTTTCTGTTAATCATTGTCACGAAGTAAGAGTAATATTTCCGAAATCAAGAAATAACTGCCATAAAATTGCATTACAAAGATCATGGCTTGATCGAGGCTGTGAATTGTTATTTATCATTATATGACATTGAGGCTTTGATAAATTGTCATGAATCGGATGATAATTTATGACATGATTACACAAACGCGAACTAAAGAACTTTTTTATTACGCATGGCAGGTACCAAGAAAAAGCTAAGTATCGGGCTCAGATTGAGGATCATAAATCAATGCCTCTTTTGTCCCTATATTTAGGGTTGGGGGCACGGAAAATCATCACGCGGGGCACGGCATAACACCCTAAATCATCACATGATAATAATTAGTAAAACATCACATGTAATTAATAATTTCCATGTGATGATTAACATCACACCTCCGTGCCCCTGTGACAAATTGAAATCACACCCCCGTGCCCCAACCCTACCTATATTAATTAATGAGAAGTTATAAAAAAATGCTTTATTTTCATTGTTGTAAAAGAATAAGAACCTTCGTGTTAAATAATTTACTCAATAAATAAATCTATAAAATTCTTAACTAAATTAAATGTTGTTACTAAATTACCATGTTACGCCTCTAGCGAATTGCCTAAATTTCTCTTTGTTAATTATATTTTACTCATCAAAAAAAATTTAATACTACTGCCAATATATAACCTTTGCTAAATTATCAGACTTTTTTAAACTTTTTAGCAAACCATATTATGTAAAACTGAGTGTTTTACGGATGGAGATATACCTCTATATTATTTTTAAAGTCAAAGGTAGTATTCTATAAAGTTTAGCTTTATTCTAATCAACTTTTTTTTTTAGCTAGCAACTTTTACTTTTCGTTAGCAATTTTACTGCTTTGAAAAATTCGTAATAATCATTATGACAATTAAAATTCTGCGATTTGGCTAAAATTATATAGATTGGCCGGCATTACAATCCGAAAGTTCCGGCCAAAATTTAAAAATTAATGTTAGCCGGGATTACGATGGTTGCAGATCCTAAATTCAGGCCAAGGATTTTGAAAATGAATACCATTTAATAAGCCTATTTCATGAATTCCTGCAAAATTCTGTGAATGCAGAAATCATTGTCCCTGAATACAGGTAATAAAAAACAGTATAGAAGTACAAAAAAAGAACCGAGGAATAAGGTAAATTGCAGTACTACAAATATACTGCTGCGACTGAGGTTATGTTATTTTGATATAATAACGATTAGGCTCAGAATAGTGAATTATAGTTTTTTCTGATTATTGAAAGAAGACACAAGATAAATATTTGTTATGCTTCTGAATCTAACATTTTGGATGATTTTTCTATATCTAAATTTTTGGATGATGTTTCTAAATTTGAATTTTTGTATTTCTGCTTACGCCTAGATGTAAGAGCACGATGAAGACTAAATCTGTCTTTTTCAGATGCTTTACGTTTAATACGCCTTTGTCTAGCTATATCCCACACTTTTATTGTAACAGCAATGAAATCCTTTACCATATCTATAAGATTAAAAGAGTCAATTAAACTTTTAATTATTGATGTTTTTTCTTTGTTGCCGAATATTTTGACGCCAAAATCGCGAAATGGTTTGTAGGGAAATGCGTAAACATGTAAAAAGGCGAAGATCACCATTTCAGCGCAGATTATCAGGGAACCTATGCCACGGCTGATATTGGCGCTCGTCCTTTATTAACCAAGACAAAGTTTTAACAAATTTAATAAACTAGTTTGATATATATATATATAGAAAAGATAAAGATAGTAGAGATTGATACCAATATCGACTTTCATGGATAAATCCTGTTAAATTTTGTTAGAAACTGATCCAAAGGATTTATATAAATAATCGATATAAATAACAAAAATGAATTTACCATTAGATGCCAAAATTGAGAGAATAAGAGATTGCCAAAATGAAAAGAAAACAACCTAAGGAAAAAAAAAGGGAGAGAGAAAGAGAGAACATTTAATCATAAGGAAGATTGTTGGCAATCCTTTAAAAAAAATGAACAATTAAAATTTACCAACTTAACACAGAGGAATTTAAAAAATGGCCGTTCTGAAGCAATGGCGTCATGGATTACTTCATAAAATACAACCTACAAGATTTTGTATGAATAAATGATTTCTTAATCGTAATACATACGTGCGTAAGTACGTTCGTACTCACCAAAGCATATATCGCGATAGTGACACTAATAACCTGTGCAGTCTTTAGATAAACTTTTGCAAAAACCAGACTCATACTTTCTGCGCAATAAACACCAAAGGCTTCGGTAATCAAGGTCGTAAATGTGATGATTGGTATCAACGCAACGTATTGTAAAATGCCCCATTTAACCATATTCGAAAAATTTTCACTTGTTGGTCGATATCTATAACAACAAAGAGGAGATGGACATTTTTTTTTTGTTTTTGAAGCTTTATCTAACATCTCCTTGCTTTCATCGGGAGAATCTTCAACATATTGCGTGAGAAGGGCGAAGAATGCCGCGAGAACGAATGCTTCATAACAATCTCGAACGGTTTCGAAATAGATGCTATAATGAAAGAATCGGTATGATAACCATGATATAACTGCATATATCGGAACCATTAAAACAATTCGAATGATATGCCGTTGATATTCTGGCTAGAAAAAGATTAAATTATACATGTCATGTGAATAACATAATCTCTCTCATCTTGTAGAATAAAATTTAAGCCTACTAACACGGTGATAATATTGTGAATGCTTTATTATCAAATATAGTGAAACAACCGTCGCTACAAATGCACATAAACCAGACACTGCCCAACCTATTCTATGAGCTAAAATTAAATTTTATCAAAAAATAATCTTGATTATTTATTTTAATTTATTTAGTAGAAATAACGAATGAATAAATTTATTTACCATCCAAATGTGGTCCATTATCCCAGAAAGCTGATGGATCATTTTCTATCTTATTTTCCGATGGGCATGTTGTGTTTACCAACTCTTTCGCCATGTCACCCATTTTGGTCTTATGTGAACGAAATTATTATCCGTAAAAATAAATTCTATTACAAACGCACGGTCATATATACGCACGTACGTATTTACTATATATTGTATTCAAAACGTTATCGATAACGATGAGGTTAAACGAGAATGAACTTAATATGGAAAACCCTTATGTTTACGCGACTGATCATTACGCAGCCACATTTCAAAGAAGCCTCATTGATTCTCAATGTTATTGCCTTTAATAAAAGGAAAGTTTAACAAATCTCTCCTTTTATAGTTTAATACAATTCGGCTTAAAACATCAGTAATAGTTATATCCTGGGCAGTTGGGTATAAGCGGAAATGAAATTTCCGCTTATACACAGTGCCCAGGGTATAGCTGATTTATACCCTGCGATCTTGGGTATAATTTTGGTAGGGATGTTACGGTCCTGCAAAGACCGTGGTCCGGACCGGTCCAAAAGACCGGTCCAAGCAGTTTTCGGTCCGTAAATTGTGGACCGGAAAAAAAAATTACCGATTACCGAATCAAATAAGTTTCTGATATCGCATAATTCAGTAACTTATTGATTTTGACTCAGTAACTTGTCGATTCAATTGTCCAGGATTTATGATAATAGCTGTAAGTCGAAAATCTGAAATGAGTCACCGAGATATTAGATAATTTTAGATGTAAAAATAAAAAAAGACAAAAATTTATATCGATATGTTACAGCTATTTTCATAAATTCTGGGACACCTGAAAATTTGCTCCCCGAAACCTCTTCGACCTTGTTCTAAGAATCACCCAACTTTTCGGAAATTACTTCGCTATCTCTATTGAAGTTCCAAGCACAACGAAGTAGTTTCCGAAAAGTTAGATGATCCATCGAAGAGGTGTCTGGAAATAAGAAAATTTTTAGGTGCCCCGGAATTTATAAAAACAGCTGTAAACGATGCTAATATAGTATCCAATATAAATTTGTCAAACATAAATGCGATAATACTGATGCATATCAAGTTTATAAATATATATATATATATATCTATTTTTCGAATAACTTGGTAGCACCACCACTGATTAACGTAGTAAAGCTTTGTTTATTTTATATGTAGCGATCATTAAAAACAAAATAGTTTATTAGTTATTTTGAAAACCGGCCAATAGACCGGTTTAGTCTTCTGCTAGGACCAAACGATTAATGTACAGTACAGTCTAGGATTATACGCGATATGGAAATGATCTGCAAATATATTAGAAGGGTATAAATCAGCTATACCCTGGGCACTGTGTATAAGCGGAAATTTCATTTCCGCTTATAC